TTTTTGTACCCATTCTAATTTATTTAGACCAAGTCAAATATCTACATCATATTTGTTGGGTTAATGGCTGAACGGGGGTTGGCCCATAAAACCCTCCCTACGGACGTCCCCTACGGACGTTCCCTATGAACGTTTCCCTATATCAGGGCCTCCTTACGAACGTCCCCAACAGGCACAGGAGACGTTCGTATTGAAGTATAGGTGTGTGCCTTGACTCAAGGGTAGCGGCTATTCATGTTTCGCAGTACTTGGCCCAACAGGATACAGGAGGCAAGCTAATGGGACGAACGTCCCCAGAAGGTCCAAGACCACGGGATATCCTTCTGATCATCCAATGGACGTATGTATCCTTGCATAGGCAAGCTAATGAAGACGAACATCCCCAGAAGGCCTAATGCAACGGAACATCCTCTCGGTCATTATATGGGACGTACGTCGTAAAGGACTTTGGGTCCAGCAGGAACCAAGAGTCAACTCATGGGGACGAACGTCCCCAAAAGGGCCAATTAAGTATTTGAAAGCCCATTACTAATATACGAGCCCAATTAGTAATATGATTAACCACGCATTACGTAAAACATTAATCGTTTTACAATTGTTCAATAATAGGGAAATTCATGACATAAACTTTAATATTTAAATTAAAATTTACATGACGTTCGGGTGCGGTGTCACATACTAGTTCTGACTTTTTCCTCACCAATACTCTTCGGCCATCTCATCCCCTACCGGCAGTTAGTCCGACTGCACAGCCACCTGTGCTGATCTATCCTCCCTCCCCATGCACGCTTGTTACTACCTTGGATTTTACCATTGAGGATATCCCTTCCGCCTCGAACTCAAACCAACCAACCCGAAGCCCACTGTACGCCACCACTCCATCCAAACACCCTTCACCAATCACCACCCATCCCGTCATCCACCACGTCCTCCACCTTACATCCTCATATGTCCAGTGCCCCCTTACCCACGCTACCGACCTCACCGTCTAGTCCACCCGTTCCCCAGAATAATGTCCATCCTATGCAAACCCGAGCCAAGTCTGGTATTTTTAAACCAAAAACAATTTTTACATTAAACACAGTTGTTACCTCAGCAGATCCTACATGTTTTTCTGAGGCGAATATGCATTTAATTTGGCGTGAGGCGATGATGGATGAATTCAATGCACTCATCACTAATAATACTTGGGATTTAGTTCTTTGTGACAACTATAAGAATGTAGTCGGGTCTAAGTGGATTTATAAAACTAAATTTCACTCTGATGGGTGTATTGAGTACCACAAAGCACGTTTAGTTGCTCAAGGTTTCTAACCAGCAGGCTGGTGTGGATTTTTCTGAGACTTTTAGTCCAGGTGTAAAACCCACCATAGTTCGTATTGTTCTTACTCTTGCTATTTCTTTTGGGTGGGTTATACGTCAATTCGATGTGAAAATTGCCTTTTTACATGGACACCTCACTGAAGAGGTTTATATGCGTCAGCCGCGGGGTTTTATTCATCCTCAGTTTCCTCATCATGTGTGTCATTTGCGCAAGGCCATTTATGTTCTGAAGCAGGCCCCGTGAGCTTGGTTTCATCGTTTCAGTAGTTTTCTCGTTACTCATAATTTTTCATGTAGTAAGTCAGATAATTCTTCGTTTATCTATCGTTGGGGATAGTCAGTCATTTATTTATTATTATATGTGAATGACATTATTATTACTGTAATTCATCTTCTCTAATTTCATCCTTTATTATTCGCATTGCTTCTCATTTTGCTATGAAGGATCTGGGTGATCTCCATTTTTTCTTGGGAGTTCGGACTGTTCGAAATTCCGAAGGTCTTTTTGTGAGTCAGCAAAAATATGTGTCTGATCTGCTTCTTCGTTACCACCTTCACACACTTAAGCCTGTACGCACTCCTATTGCTACACACACATCCCTCCCCCTCACTGATGGTGAGCTCATGGCTGATGCTACTAAGTATCGCATTATGGTAGGCGCATTACAGTATTTAACATTGACAAGACCTGATATTACTTATGCAGCTCATTTAGTGTCTCAGTTTATGCATGCCCCTCGTACTACTCATATGCTTGCGGTCAAGCACATTTTTAGATATTTACAGGGCACTGTGGATCATGGACTATGGTTACAAACTTCCATGTGTCCCAATTGTATTTTGGCCTATTTTGATGCTGATTGGGCAGGCTGTCCGGATAGCTCCCACTCTACTACAGGTTTCGTTGTTTTCTTGGGTCCTAATCTTATTTCTTGGAAGTCCAAGAAGCAGCCTACAGTGTCTAAATCATCCACAGAGGGAGAGTGTAGAGCTATTGCTTATACAGTACATGACACTTTACACATCAGATCAATTCTGTTTGAGCTCGGCTTCTCGGTGCAGGTTCCCGTACAGTTATTGTGTGATAATATATCTGCCTCATAGCTCACGATTAATCTTCTCTATCCGGTCAACCCGAACCGAAAAAATGGATGAAAACCCGAAGAAATATGGATGAAAAATGGATGACGGGTGGATTGAAAGACGGGTTGGATCGCGTATGGATGAACACTCATCCAACCCGTCACCCGACCCGTCACCCGTTTCGTCCACCCGCACCCGCTGACCCGAATATATATATATATATATATATATATATATATATATATATATATATATATATATTGATAATATTAATATGGATGAAATATGTATTTAATAATATATATTAATAATAGTAATAATAATTACTATTAATATATTAACAAATACTACTTATTTAATATTCATTAAATATGTTTTTGAGTTGTTTTTTTAATTATAGTGACAATTGACATGTTTTTATTTAATATTTTTCAGAAATTTCTTTGGCTAATACCCAAGCATGTGCTTCCAATGGATATGGAAGGGGATCAAAATGCTACCAATGAAGGTGTTGACTCTGTAATATGATTAAATTCTTCAGTTTTTATTCATTTTTTTGTTAATTCTCCCTCTAAGCAATGACAGTGAATTTTATATAATGAATTTTATGTTTTTTGTCAATAATGACGGGATGGAGAAGACACATATCTATGATTATGAGTTGGTGAAATAAAGACAATTGGAGAGTTTCAAGAAGTGATAGTTTTGTGTTGATGCAGAAATGTAGAATTGACAACTTGAAGAAATTTTATGTCTATGTTGTTTGACAATTACTTCTTTCTTTATCATCGCCAGTGAATTAATGATTATAATATTCTTAATTGTTCAAGTTTTTGAAGTAATTTTTCAATGAATTCTTAATTTTTGTCATGATTTCTCTTTATGATTTATTTATTTTGTCTTTCAATTTTGACCTTTATATTCACCCGTTACTCACCCAATCCACCCGAAAACCCGTTCATGATGGATGGGTTGGATGTGGATGTAGATTTTAATGGATGATGGACGGGTGGGTGAACTATGAAAAATTAACGGGTGGACGACGAATGAGCCTTCACCCAGTATAAACCCGGCCCGCTGCCACCCCTAGCTAGGAGCAAGCATATTCAGATTGACTATCATTTTGTTCGGGAGAGAGTGGTGCGTGGCGATTTAGTTGTTAAATACATTCATACTCATCTTCAGCTTGCTGATATATTTACTAAAATTTTATCTAGTAAGCAGATTCATTTTTTAAAAGACAACTTGCGCGTTGCACCTCCCGTACAGCTTGAGTGGGTGTAATAGTTATACTCCTTTCGTCCCTTAAAACTTTGCCAACTTTCTTTTTTTAGATGTCCCATTAACTTTGCCTCTTTCCATTTTAAGTAAAGAATTTGTGGTTCCAGTTAATTTTCTCTCCTCTACACAAATCTCAACCACACAATTTTTACTTTATTAATCACCGTGCCGGTTAAACTTGGCAAAGTTTTAAGGGATAGAGTGAGTATTAAATTAGGAATTCTTGTGTATTTTGGAAACTCTTATTCTATTATAAATACACCTGTCAGGGCTTCTATTGGAGTATTGCTTTCCCATTATTTTCATATTATTGTAAAAACATAACAATAATTACTCTTATTTAGGTCATTCTAATCCTATTTAGGCCAATTTTCAGTAATTACATATGCTAAAATAAAATATGCAGTATTTCAAACTGTTCACAAGAGTGCGTACTAAGTTTGACCGATGTCAATTGGAAAGAACGGTTCTCTCTAGATATCGAGAAACCCTAGCGGACATCTCCCCTCTTTGTAGGGGTTCAGATTTTCCGTTGCCCCTATCAATATGGGGTTGGAGCGACAGATTTTATTACTTTTAAGTGTTCTAATGCTTGAGACTGCAACTATGTTAGAGAAAATAGCGTTGGCGGATGAACGAGGTGCGACTTGGAGGTTGTATCGAGGCGGGATCATGAAGCTTTGGTCTGCCATTATGACGGTGGTGGAGTTTGTATTCATCCATTTTATAAGAGCTCGTCCTCTTCCGGAACCACCTCCATACCAGAAAGAGTTTTGTGGAAGGATTTTATTTCAATATTATTTTCTCTTTAGTAACACTTGTTTCTGTTTAAGACCGAGTAGATTTGGTTTGAATGATTGGATTTTTTGAGTTCTTTTGATAGACAGAGTTTTGGTTCCGATCATTTTAGGCCTAAATTTGCCCATTTCAAGTTTAGCGAGTCATGTTGCTTTGTATGAGGTGACTGACTCTAAGTCTACTCCTAGGGTTTACGTTTAGATCTCTCATTTTTGTCTGAAAAATTGTCTTGTATTTGTTCTCGATTTTAATATATTGTAAATTTTATAAAGTAGCCCCTTTAAGTTTTATCCGGAAAATATGGGTGTAAATCTAAGAAAAAGTATATCTATTGAAAAAAACGGTATTGGTGCTTCTGTGTTTGTTGTTGACCTAGTTTGGATTTTATGCCTTCATTTTCTTTTGAAGTTTTCTATCCTCACCCGTTCGTTCCCATTACCAAGTCAACAATAATAATGAAAGGAATTAAACTTTAATTTTGTCTAATTGAGAAAAATATTTTTGCCATATAGAGACACTGCAGGTACCGTAGAAATCTCCATATAAACCTCTAGATCCCACCACTCCCTCCAACATAACCGCCCTATATGCCTCCCCTCAGTCTGCAATGGCTCCAACAGAATGCTTGTAAATGGGAGATTCGGTCTCCCCTGGCAACGCTTTGATTGCAGCGGATCGGAGATTATTATGTCCATCCCAGACGAATTCGCAGCCGCTGTTGAAGCCACCACACCGGAATGCACAGAAATCGGGATGGAGAACGGCCAGATTGCCGAGGAGTCCGCAGCTGATAGCGGAGAAATTGCGGGCACCGCTGAGAACCTGAATCCAAATCTTCTCGCGGCGGATGAACGGAGTGATTTGAATTCGGTTACTGATCATTTCTTCGAGGTTTGTTCTGAGAAAGCCAGCGGAGAGGTTCTGCAGATGATTAAACCACATTCGCAGCTGCCGCAGCCAGAGGCGCCGCCAGGTGTGTCTGCGCTGGTGTCCCCCCGTGACCTTGAACGCTCTAAGTCTATGCCGGAGAGTTTCGATGTGCCGGCGATTGGAAAATTCTTTCGGGAGAAGAGCAGTAGCTTATCGTCAGCCATCACTAGGCGGATATCGTCTTTGAGGGAACCAGTCGAGGAGGAGAAGGCGAAGGCCGATTGTCGCGTGACGGAAATCAATCTCTCCGGTCTGAAAGTGGTCGTGAAACTGAAGCCGGACGAGGAACAGGGTCCGCGGCTACTAGGAAGAGTGGCCTTCTTCTCGCGATCCAATTGCCGAGACTGTACGGCGGTCCGCTCGTTCCTGCACGAGAGAAGGCTCAATTTTGTGGAAATCAACATCGACGTGTATCCGGAGAGGGAGAAGGAATTAGTGGAGCGGACTGGGAATGCAATTGTGCCGCAGGTTTTCCTTAATGAGAAGTTTCTGGGAGGCCTTGTGGTCTTGAATTCCCTGCGGAACAGCGGAATGCTGGAGAAGAAACTCGGAGAAATGATGGCCGTAAAGTGCCCTGACGATGCCCCGTCGCCTCCGGTCTACGGGTTTGGTGAGCCAGAGGAGCAGAGGGACCAGATGGCGGACATTGTGAGAGTTGTGAGGCAAAAGCTTCCTATCCAGGACCGGATAATGAGGATGAAGATAGTGAAGAACTGCTTCGCCGGCGGCCAACTCGTGGAGGCTGTAATACACCACCTGGACTGCGGCCGTCACAAGGTACGTTTTCTCAAAGTTCCTGATGTTACCATTTGTTTTTTAGAAATTACTAATAACACTAAAACTATGTCAAAAACTCAAAATAGGACTTACTATATTTTTTTAAAATAGGACCGAATTAGTCCTATTCGTAACATACCTATTTTTTCATTCCAATCTAACTCTTTCTTTAAATATGACTTAATTAAATGTTTAATTCATAATAAATTCGAAAAAAAATTCAAAAATTCGTAGAAAAATAATTAAAAAATTTATAAAATATTCATAAAATAAAAAATTAATTTTTTTAAAAAATTAATAAAAAATAGTAAAACTCCATAAAAAATTAAAAAAAAATATGGATGTCTTTTCCACCGCCTGTGCTACCCAGGGGCGGATCCAGGAATGAAGAGTGGGGTGGGCTTAGCAGGAAAAAAATTGTTATTGCAAACAATAAGTTTAGCTTAGACTCCTTAGGGCCGTAATCGAATTGAGTTTTTTTCGAACTACGCGAATTCGAGCGTGATTTCGAATTTAATTTAGTGATCTGAGCTTAAGAAGCTTTTTTTAACTCGAACACGAGCTAGATTTTGAGTTCGAATAGTTGTTCAAGCTGAGTTCGAGCATAGTGGTATTCGGTTTGATCCGGACTCGAGTCTATCAATAACTCGTAAATTATAGAAATAAATTTTATTTATCTTAAAATTTAAACATTTTCATTGCAATTTTTTAAATATATTTGAACACTAAAAAAATAGAGTTCATATATCTATTTTATTCAAGCAGAGTTTGAGCATAAATTAAATTAATAATCAAATAGAATTACATAACTATTAAATAAAACTAATGCACTAATAAAACTATTATAATTTTATTATTATTATTATTATTAATAATAATAATAATAATAATAATAATAATAATAGATATAGTATATGACCACATAAGGATAGTTGATAAAGAGTAACTTAGTTATTTTAATGATTATAATTATGTTTAAATTTTAATGCTTATAAAAGTTACTCATGGTGACTTGGGTCAAATAATAGTATTATTCATATAATAATAACAGTATTATAATAATAATATAATATTAATCATAAAATTTATGTTGTAAAATAATATTGTAAACTTGTAATATAAAGTGCTTTCATTGATGGTGTGGGTGAGTGGGTGAGATGGGATTGCATAATTTGCAGCTGGCTCCAAACACCAACTACATACAATTGTTTAATACTCCGTATGTAAAGTTTTGCTCCTCAATTTATCCCACACCGACTGCAAGGATGGTTCACCCTCCTGAGTGTCCTATATATAAATCACTTCTTGGTGCAATCACACCAAGCTCTATTATTACACATCAGGATCATTTGTTCTCGGGATCATTTGTTCCCATGACTATGGGCTTTAAACAAAGTTTGGGCAGCCTTTTGATTTTAGAGCTTCTTAGAACACTTCCTTGTAGACTTGGGGTGGACTTGGGGTGGGCTGAGTTTTAATTTTTGGGTGGGCTGAGTTTTAATTTTTGGGTGGGCTGAAAATTAAATCTCTTTCTATACCAACAAAAAAAATTGGGTTGGGCTGGGCTAGAGCCCACCCTAGGCCCTACATAGATCCGCCCATGGTGCTACCTCCCTGCACCACCATCTCCGGGCGGTGAAAAAATGCCATTTTCCCTAAAAACTACATTTTTTCTGAAAATGCCAAAAACATGACATATTTCTCTTTGAGAATGCCAACATTTTCATTATTTTCTACCATAAATATGTCATTCGTAATAAACTTGGCATTTTTTCCCTGGTGACTGGAGGTGGTGGTGCAGAGGCGCCAGAGGTGACATTGAATTTTATTTATTTTTTTTTGAGTTTTTTTTTTATTTTTTTTTTGAAAATAATTAAATAAATAAATTATTATTATTATCGAAATATTTTTATTAATTTTTTAGTATTTTTACGATTTTTTATTATTTTTTATTATTTTATTATGAATTAAAACATTTCAATAGCTATAAGGGTATATTTGTCCAAGACACACATAATTAGTCCTATGAAAACATAGTTTATATTTTGGTGCTATTTGTGCAAAGTGAGTGACTTTTAGTCCTATATTGATAATTAATTTTTTCAATACATACTCATTCCACAACTTAAAACTCTAACTAACTTTGACTATGAAATAAGAAAAAATAAGTTTGACAAAGTTTTTTGGGATAAATAAAAAAAGAAAGTTAATATAGTTCAATAAGGAGTATTAAAAAATGACATGTATATCAACGTGTACGAATAATTGAACAAGATTAAATACAATATATTTTGAAGTAAATATATCACTTTCTTAGAAATTTTAAATTAAGTCATATTGTTGTCTTTTAAATTATTTTAATAATATTCATTGAAAAAGGCTTATATATTATCCTTTTTATTCTATCATTTTATGTATATCTTACTATGTATCCCTTTTTATATAATTTTTCTTATAATAACTTATCTTTTTACCTTTTTTTATATTCTTTTCTTTTTTATTCTGATGTAAAAAATTTAAAAACCATAATTTTTTTAATATTTACAGTTTTAATAAAAATAAAATAAAATGGGGTCATGTATAGTTTTTAAAAACTTCAATTTTTTACTTTATATATGTAATATTGGTATCATATTAAAAATCATAAAATTTATGAATCCTGGTATATTATTTGATAAATTTGGAGTACAAATAAAAAATTGTAAGACTTTAAAACTGAGATTTTTTATGCAAGAACGACACTAGTATGACGTCATTCTTCCCTTCCTTTTTGTTTTTATTTTATTTTTCCTTTATTTCTCCTTGTCAATACTCCTTATCCTTCTATTTTAAAACCTTTGCACTACAAGTAGTCTTATCAATTTAGTAATGACCAATGATTACTACATATTGTTTGGGTAGTAATGATCAATGATTACTACATATTGTTTGAGTTTCTCCTCAACCCACTTGTTGGGTGAAGAACAACATGCTATTAAAGAACAACATGCTAACAGATTTATTTTCTTCTTCTCTTGGAGGGCCGGTCATATGAAAATGGGGCCCCGGAAAATGGGGCTTTCTATTCCGTCACGAGTAGAAATATAACATAAATAAAGATAATGATAATGATAAAGAGCTAATGATTTGTGTTGAAATTTATGTTACTAGTGAACAAAATGCAAGTATTATTAACAATATACAATACAATACTCTTTAAATGAGACCTTTTTCAAGCATATTTGTTAAGTTCAATTAAAACTGGTCAAGCCTAATAGATAAGCAACTCAAACAGTCAACCGTATAATAAATTAGGACATACACCCTTCATCCCACAAAATTTTTCCCACTTATCATTTTGGTTGAGATGTCTCAAAAATTCTTCCCATTTCCCTTTTTGAAGAAGTTTGTTTGGTTAACATCCATTAACTTTTTTTAATCAACCACAATCATATATTTCTACTTTATTTTAATTTTCTTAATAAGCGTGTCAAGTCAAATTGGAAAGTATTTTTTGGGATTGAGAGATTAAGAAATTAGGAATATTAATAATTTATACGTAGTAATTGAAAAGAGAACCTAGACCCTTGTATACGGGAACTTCTTCTGGTGTAGCGTGTGGGTTACAATCTCAAATAGAGGACTACATCTAGGGATGGACCCGGGCCGGTCCGGTTCCGGCAATACTTGGGCTCGGAATCGGCCCGGGTTGATACCGGGTCCGGGCCTAACCGGGTCGGGCCCGGTTCAATGTCTATTTTTTTTTGCTTTCTTGTTATCCCCCGACCCCCCCCCCCCCTCACCCCACCCCCAAACCTCCCTAAAACACCCAGCCCTACCCTAGGAAAAGAAAAAAAAATGAAAAAACAAAAAAAATATGACCTGGGCCCAGCCCGAACCGCCCGGGCCGGTTCACCCAAAACTGGGCCCGAGCCCGGCCCGCCTGACCTGCCCAAACGGGCTAAAATCCCCGAACCGGCTAACCGGTCCCACTCCGGTCCGGGCCCGCACAGTAGCGGTTCCGGGCCGGGCCAGTTCCGGGCCGGCCCGGCCCGGTTTAGTCCATCTCTAACTACATTCCTAACTCTTGGCCTCTTAATACTATTCTCTCGTCTCACTAATAATGAGACAAGAGGGAGTGACACGCAAATCAATAAAAAGTGATTAATGTGGTTGATATTGAATTGATACAGTAAGAATAAAGTAAGAATGGTTTACAGCTACACAAACTTTATCAAAATTGGTATGTGACAATTTTGGTGGGACGGACCGAAAAATAAAATGGGACAATCTTAGCGGGATGGAGAAGGTACTTTTTTGGGCCCTTAGTTTTGAGGGGCTTTGCGCGATTAGGCTATTTGCCCTTGGTCTGTGCCGGCCCTACTTCGTTATTACTTTTTCTACTTTTTTCTATGAAGAATAATTTTTATTTGTTTCATTTGAAAGCTGTTAATTGTCAATATACAATTATTCGGCAATATATATTTATTTTCCCATACTTTTTACTTTTTATACACTAATTAAACCTGGTAATTATAACGAAACCTGCCCACCTTGAGCAGCAAGAGGAGGTGCAGCCGGCTGAACAAAACGGGACGGACAAGTGAAAGAGGGATGACATGGAGCATAACAAATCTGACAAACAACATGAGGAGGGACATAATTCCCCTCAACTGAAGAAGAGCCTGCATAACCACGATTAGTAAAAGGAGCAGATAAAACATAAATATAAAAATTTGACTGAACAAACATACCCGCCGAGCCTGGAGTCCCAAGAATGCAGCATGTGGTGCACCCTCGGAAAGTAATGAGGTGGGGGTATCCATATCCGTATTGCTGCCCATAGCCGTGACCTGCAGGATGTGGTCCATAACCGCGGCCCCTCTGCCTGCGGCCGCCTCGTCCACGCTGTCTGCGGCCACACCGGCCGCGTTGTCCTTTTCCCCTGTGTGGCTGCCCACCTTGCTGTGGAGGTGGTCTGGCAGCAACCTGTCCCGCAAACGCATGTGCCTGAGGAGGTT